TATTTTCTTTGGGGAATTGCGTGTTTCAGCAGTATGGATATTGCAGGCTGTGGCAGGAGGAATAAACAGACTTTCTCTGTCTTTTTACCCCTACCGTCCCATGTTTTCTTCAGGGATGGGCCTGTTCACAGAGGCGCTTCTGTGACTGATGTTTGTCTGTGTTACGCTTCTATTTATTTGTTCGGCAAACAAATGCATTATTAACAAGCTGCTGCCACATGCTATCCTCTCAGTGTATGCTCTGTTTGCATCAGTGTCTTCCATGCAGCTCATGTGCAAATTAGCCGGGTCACTGCAGAAATCAACTTAAAGGTGAAATCTGACTCGTGGTAATGGCCTTTTAATGCAAGTTGATGGTCTTGCAATGAAGAGATTTAAGTGCGCAAACTCTCCTAAGCCCCAGAATAAAGGGCACACAGGTGGTTTTATGTCTCCAACAGGTTATTTCTCCGATATGAGGCTGCCATTATCACAGCCCCGTGAAATTAGCAGGCCTCACTTTGGTGGAAACTTATAGCGCAAGCTTTTAAAGATGATATATAGAGGTCTGGATCATTAAAAGCACCGATAAATCCTGACATTCAACATGCATTTCCTTTTAACTCGAAGCAATATTGAATATTAGACCGAATAGGGCCCTCTAAGCATTATATCAAACCCAAAAGAAACCTGCCTTTCGGTTCGCCTGGGAACAGCTTGAATAAAAATAATGCTGTGAAAATCTTATTCACACTCACAATCACACATGAGGCAATTTCAGCCATAACAGGGACCAGGACTGGGAAGAAAATGGCAAAAAGAAGACACCTTTTTCTGAGGGTTTTTTCTCCTTTCCTCTCATGCATACCAATGTATTTAGCTCATCTCCAATCAAAGGAAAGGTTGAAAATCTTGTTAAGGTCTCTCTCCTTTGGCAGTGTGTGGCTGCAGAAAGATACACTCTGACTTCAAATGGAGGAGAGGAGAAGAAAGAAGCGTGGAAATGTAGGAAATATCCAAACAGAAATCTTGCATCTAATTGAGCTTAATTTATCAAACTGACCATGCAGAGAAATGCAGATTCAGATATAATTACTTGATAAATGTTTAGTTCTTAAATTCATATCTATGCTTTAGCTTATATTATTATTTTTATTTTGCAGGGAGGGAGTGAGTAAAGCATGCAGGATGGGTTTCAGGATGGGTCAGGACACTATTTCTCATGGGTCTCACAGAGCACCACAAGTATCAACATGTTTTCTTGACCTCAGGCCTCTTAATGGAAAAGTAAACCTTGGGTCTGTCGATATGTTGTTTTTTTCTTTTTTTTCTAGTGACTCACTAACTGAGAGGACAGGTCTGTTTGAGGTCAAATTTATCTGCAAATGTGCTGCTAGAGCATCTTTAAAGATTTAACTACTTAGAACAGCGATTTTATGTCTTAAATAAAAGCACAAATCTATCTTAACCAAAAAACAAACTCTAAGTTTTAAATATGTGAGCTGAATTTGGATTTTTTTTCCCCCACTTTTCACAGCTGAATTTGAGGTTTAAAACCATGGGGAGAACACTACTGGTGTGAGAGTGTACAAAAATATTATAAAATGGTGCATTATGTCACTTGGCATAGCAAGCAAAATGTCCATTCTCAAAAAAAGCAAACAGCATGATTTAAATGTAAGCTTCCTTTTTCCATTGCAGTAACATATTATGCACAAAAACAAAAAATAAGCATATTAAAGTGATGTTTTTGAGTGAGGGGGAGTAGGAAGCTGGCATTCATCTTGTTTGCACAACTCTTGAATCCATGCCTCTTGCAAACTTGCAAAAAATAAAAAAAAAAAGCAGAGAAAAGATGACACTCTACCTGCCAACTACCATCCCTGTTAAAACTCAACAAATCGCCTTTTAGAAGAGACGCAAAGGCAACATAATTAAATGTTTAGAGACTACAAGAAGAAATGAATGTCAAAGCTACCTTGATGTTCAGAGGACAGCTTTTAAATCAACAAGGACACAATTTGAATTCTCATTGCTAAAAGGGTCTGAATGTTTTTGCTGCAGCTGACTGAAGATTTGTTTAGATGTTCCCCCAATATGAGCCACTTTGTTCATGGCTGAATGAGCCGGGATTACACTCTGTCGTATGTGTGTGTGCGTGGTTATGTATCCGTTTTAGAGCCTGCGTGGGTGTTTACACTCTAAAACAACCTCATTAATGAAAAGCTGACGTGCAACACGAGAGTCTGCAACCAAACATGACATTGGTCTGATGGGTCTGTTACATTATTTAGATACTGAGGCATTTAGTTGTGCAGGTGGCCCCTCAGCTTACTGCATGTGCTGTGTGCCTGAAGCCATGCATATTAGGGAAGAACCAGTGCTAAAAATAGGTGAATATATTCTTCAGAGAGCAAATAATGCTTGTGAATGCAAAAAAGGCCACGTCAGTTTAGTGTTTTTTAAAAAGTTTGTAATGACGTGCATGAGGCCTTCAAAGGATACTAAAACACCATCTGTCCTTCCATAAAAAAAAGGCCCAGAATTAAAGACTTACTGTAGTTTAGGTGGACATATTCATGCGGCATAAGGGAGGATTTGTATCTACTGCAAACAAATAAAATGCAAGCAATAGTGAGGGAAGTGGAAGCACTTTGTTTGCCAAAGTTAGGATAAAATGTGCTGATTAAGGTGCACAAAGTCTTTTCAGATTAAAGAAATTCAAGAAAAATGCCTTATCCTGCACAATTAAAATCCCATCTGTTAAAGTTATTGTCAGCTTGACTCGATGGTAGCTCTTGTCTGACTTAACTGATGGTATACTATAAACCACAAGGTGTTTCTGTTTCTATTTTCAGTTGTTTAATGTATGTCTGACGCCTATCTTAATGATCTGAGGGAACATTTGGAAGCAGACTTTCCTTTCCACTGTGAGCACGATTAGCACTTTACAGGCCAATTGAAACCAACCTCCAAATCACTCTGATTGGCTGGCGGTTTGTGCAGCTCTGTGCAGAAGAGCTACTGCTGGCATCAGCAGCTCTCTCTCTTTCCCTTTTTTTTTTTCTTCTCTCTCTTTCTTTGTTCTCAGCTGTTGTGTTAGGTTATAAACACACAAGATGAAGGTATGATTTAAAAACAACATTAAAAGATGAAGCCATCAAATACAAGTTTCCAGATGCCCACATATGTGATATCATTAGTTACAGAGTAGATGCAAATGTTGCCAGAGCCAAGCAGCTGTTGATTTTCAACTCAACGCAGAGACACACGAAGTGAGGGTGATTTTTCGTGGGCTTTCTTCTGTTTTTGTTTGGCTTAGTATGGTTGAATATGTTTCTCCTCCAAAAAAATAGTGAGGATTATCTTAAACTCCAGCTATAAGTCTCTTAACTCTTCTGGCAGCTTTTCATGAACTTTCCTGTCCTTGTGGTCATGGTAGCTTTGTTTGAAATGGACATTTTCTTCAAAAAGGACTTCTGTTTGGATTCAAAGACACAATCTGAAGGTCTTTCAGTCACTCAAAAATAACTCTGTAAGTGAAAAAAAAAGCTGCAAAAATAAATTGGAGGATTTTTTCTAGGCTTCACAGCCTAAATTCTTTTGTTTAAGCTTGAGTGAGAAAGCAATAAATAGTCTTCATACCAAACTTCATTATTTCTGCTGTGTATCCCCTCTTCTCTTCCTGCAAACTAATTAAGAAGCTGTGGTTTGTATCCACCAGTGACTGTTGTTGAGTTTTTTTCTCTAGTTTCTTTCTACAGATGCATCTGCAAAGACATAAGCAATCTATAACGTGTCCACACAGGAGGTGTTTGTTTGTCTCCGTTGTGTCCCAAATTACAACAGTGCTCCACCCCAAAGGAAGTAACCTTCCATGATCACACAAGGCATGAGTTAACAAAGTTTGCCCTTAACTTCATATTTCACATTAGAGAGATCAAGTCTGGTACCCTGACCTGCAAAATAGACGTAATAAGATCACATTTAGAGGACCTAGCTGTTGAAAACGGTTAGAATTTATTCCTGACTCTGAGTGGTAGTGTTATTGTTGTCTTTTCTCCATTTCTCCTAAACTCAAATGTGAGTCAATCCAGGATGAGATCTGTCATGTTGAGTCACCTCTGCAGACAAACCACAAGAATCCCTGACTTGAACTGATTCGGCACATGTTTTTTAAGAGTTTCCATACATCAATTTAAAATCACTATGAAACCTGTAACATCTCAAACTAAAAGTATGAATTTGGAATATACTATTTTTGGCCTTTTCCTCCAAATCAACATGTTTCTATCAAGCATGAGCGGTGAAGTCTGATTCAGGATGGCATTTTGAATCACTCATTAAACTCCTTTGATTGTGGTTCAGAATTGGCCTTGAATTCAACACTGGGAGGGGGACTCTCTCTCTCTCTCTCTCTCTCTCTCTCCCTCCCTCTCTCTCTATCTCAATGTGTATGTGTGTGTGCGTGCATGTGTATGATGCCTCTAAAACATTGATTTTAGTGCAGTCTAGCGTCACACAGTGATTTTTACAGAAGGCGAGAAAAGTTCGTGCCTGTTTCTCTGTACTTTAGACGACTCTCCTCTCCTTTTTACCTCACATTTCTCTATCATAATTAATCTATAATAGACATTGTTGATGTTGTGCTTAGAGGGTCACCACCACACCGTAAAGACAGGGGTTACTTTTTGTTTTGCACCGAGGCGCGCCCATGGACGACGTCCTCTGTTTCCTCCTCAGAAATTACAACGACAGAAAAATAAACTTTGAAGCTGAAAATAGATGTGTATTTTTGAGTTATATTTGTTTTTGACGTGCTACCTCTTCCTCCTCCTCCTAATGCTGCTGCTGCTTGGAGAGGGTTTGGGTATATTTCAGCACCTCGGACAGCGACTAAAGCCAGCTGCTCACAGTAACACGTTTCTTCACGAGGCCTTTGCTCTCACCTCCAGTGAGTTAACACTTTTTCTCTTTCATCCTTTTGCTCCCTTTAAAGGTAAATAAAAAGTGATAAATGCTCTTAGCCTATACAATACAATATCTTTTATTAAGCGGGACATATAGGGATTCTTCTATTATTTCCACAATGTACATTTGGTGAGCAACGTCACTGAACATTAAATCAGTCAAAGCTACGCAGATTCCGAAATGTCGAACACACAATAATGTGAATATGTACTTTATAAATGATAGAATAATCTTTTTAATAAAAAGGCTCTAAGTCGTCTCCGGTGGCTGAAATATGTCGCCTTTTTTCTCTTTTTAATAAACTCATCTTCGGCCTACATTTGGCTTATTTTCAATATGTTCAGCATCCAAACGCAACACCATTGACAGCACAAAAAACATAAAGTAAAAACTTCCACTCGTGCAAAAAAATGCCTTGGGCGTGAGAGCACTTCTTCTCTGGTTGTCCATTATTCCATATACTTCACTTGGACGGAAACCATAAATTCTTTAAGGCTATACAAACATAAAATAGAGCATAACACAGTCGGCCTGTCTGGGACTTCAGTTCCTCCTCTCTTTTTCTTTCCCGTGTCCTTTTTTTGCCAAGATACACCCCTTTGTCTATTGGCAAAGTTTGTTTTCCAAGCAAGAAAAAATCCACATACCCGACAAGCACGCGCCACTGGCCGATCAATACGTTGAATCATCCAGATTGCGTAAAGTTGACTGATGGATTTGAATATATGGAACTCCAAGGAAACGTTCATAATTGACTAGATAGTGGACGAGTGTAGGTATACAGATATTCGTCGGCTTCCTTGGCTGACAGTTTTAATTAAGTTAAAAATAAATGGCATGTTGCTGTTGTTGTTTTTCTTTTTTGTTCCTCGACCTAGAAGAAGAGTCCGAAGAGTGCGACGTGGATCATCGCAGATTAGATTATAGAGGAAAGACTAGAAAGCCTGAGAAGGTGGAGTATTTCCATCCGCCCATGAGGGTACCCCGTTCCAGCTTCAGATAGACGCGGTCCTCTCGTTCCACCATCAGCAGTACTCCGTTACTGGCCGCCTCTCTCGTAACGTCCTGGTCGCCAGCGAAAGCTGATATAACCGGATAATCGTTCTGCATCAGGTTCACCTGCAGGAGAGGGGAGATACAGCCTGTGAGTTCAGTCTCATCCCTGGAAAATCGTCTTCCAACTGGAGCTTTTTCACTATTTTTCTTACCTGTATAGTTTGTCTGTTGTAGACCTTCACAACATGAAAACTGAAACTATAAATCCCCCTCCTTGGAGCCTGGAACACACTCGCTTTGAGATCGAAATGGTTGCCGATGTTCACTAAAACCTGTGACCAAGAAAGGCGCACAATCAGTTTTCAGTCAATTATTTTCTACTCGAAATAACAGCTATTCCTGTAGTAATGCATTGTTTGTCTTTGCCATACACAGTGACTACATAGAGGCGTATCATTCATCCTGTGGCTCGGTTACGCCAAATCTTTTGGCTGCACTTCACTCGCACTTTGGGATCCTTCCCAATTTGATGCGTTTCACAGGCCGCTGTGCAAAGACCTCAGCCGTGAAAACTTATTAGATCATCCGAGCAAAAGCAATACAATGCACATGTCAGTTCGGCCGAGGCCTGAGACGCATATGTTAGATGATCCCGCATGGACGATTATTGGTTTTGGCAGTGCATCTATGCATCGCGCCAATTACGCACAGCGTTATACGAAGCCCTTCCATGGTGAAAGAAAATATCAGTGTGTTCCAGAAGAGATATAGACAGGCATCAGCTCACATAGGGTGCGAGCAATGATAGGAAATCGATGAAACATGACCTCAAACAAGTTCTTTTTGCCTACGGCCCAAAGATGGAATATGTTGTGGAGAGAAAAGGGGGGAAACAGCCATAGAGCTACTGAATAAGTCAAAATCTGATCAATATGCGACTTTTTCTGCACTTTTACAGAGATAAACTCAGTGGAGATCTGACCTGGTCAAAGTAGATGGTCATGGACGTGTTGCTCATCTCTGACGGCTCGTGGTTGGTTCCACGCACGGCGGAGAAAGCCACCTTTGCCCCAGCGGAGCGCACCGAAATGCCAAGCGAGGAGGTGACCGCTCCGTCCGAAGAAGGATTCGAGTCGCACACCACGAGACACTTCCCCTCTAGGACGATGGGCTCTGTGTCGTTTTGGCCGAGGCAGACCACCACGCCGCATCCCAAGAGGAGGGACAGCGCCAGCATGGCGCAGGGTCCCGGGCAGCGCGCGGGCACCATGGTTTGGATCGCTGATCCCGTGCACACTGATAGAACCCGGCAGCCCCTTGGAGGTTTGTTAGTACTCGATCACCTGGTCCAGGCTTAGTCCTTTCTCTCTTCCCCCCTCTCTCTCTCCCTCTCTCTCTCGTCCTGTATCTGCGGTGCTCTCTCACTCTCTCAAACAGTCTCTGACACACAGACGCTCTCAGACTCTCTCCGGCTGTGACTCCCCTCCCTCTTGTGCGTCTTAGTTGATTTGGGGAGAGCGCTTAGACGAGTGTTGGTGTAAAACCTGATATTTAGGAGTGGAAAAGATAACTCAATATTAGACAGGATGAAAAAAAAATGAATCTTGATCATCTAAGCCATTAAACTGGACTATAATCTCCGTGCGTAAAAGAACCAACACGCGTAAAATCAAAGACTTTCTCTGTTTGCAACACAAAAAAACCTAAAAATCGTTTTGATATCAGAATCCATTTCTGTTCGTCTGTTACTGATCAACAATTTCTGCAACTGTAGTGTGTCTCTTCAAGCACTACAAATTATAGCGTCTATGGGAAATGCAACTACAGTGTTATTCCCTTTCTTTATAGTTGATAATCGTAGTGAGAAAATCACTTTGCAGGCGTTTCTTATCATAAAAGAGGTAAATCACGACCTACCTGTGCGCTCCATTCCGCTGGTATCTGCTCTCCGTCTCGCGCACTCTCTAAACTGAGCGCTCAGATCGCTGGTGCTCAAACAGCAAGAGTCTCTGGGCTCCCTTTCGAGGGACAACTCACGCCCATTCTCCTCACGCGTGTGTAGCCACTGCATGAGACGAGACTTAACAGAAGTGTCCCGCAATTAAGAGCACATGCGTGGACTTTAATGGATTTGTTTACATATTAATCAGCTCAATGTTGCTCGAGCTCAGGGGCCCCTCAGGACGCCGGAGATCAGTGGCTCTCGGTGTCTGTCATTTATATGCTGAGGGTTTCTCATGCCTCATTCTGATTAATCCGAAGTGAAAGGGGGGGCTACGGTGGGTAACCTTGCTGTATGGTACATTCAGCATGCATGTATAGTAAATTGCTAATTTGAGACTTAAACGGGCGTCTTTATGAGTTCAATAAAGATACTTGTGCGCCATCCAGTGGTTGTTTTCACCTCTGCAGATGGTGCTGCATGTGCGTTTAACAGGAATAGAAAAATATCTATGCATGAAAGTGATCAAAATCACATCTTCCATGAAATTTGGTTTACGTTTTTTTTTAATTTTCTTTATTTTAAGATTTGCACTGATGGCATTTAGTCCATATGAACACCGTTTTTAACAGACACTCCATGAGCAGAGTGTAAGAAGGTGACACTTCAGAAAATGCCCACTTCACAGAGACCTTCCCTGTACCACCCTTTGGCCTTTTTCTTCTTTTCAGTCCCTGACATGTCATCATCCTTTGAAGAACCATGTAAAGGGTCCCTATCAGTGGTCCACACCTCTGAAGAGTCTGAAAGGGGGCTCATAAGAGCTGAACTGTCACGCAAGACCTTTAATGAGCTGCCATTTTATACTCAAAGGTATGCTAGAATCCACGTCAATTATGGGAGGCATTATATAGACTCTCATCTTCTTTATACTGCAAAGATTCATAATTTGACGAAGGGTGAGCACAGTTTTTCAGCATTTTCAGCTGTAATCTGTAATTTAAATGCATGCAAGCAAATGGAAAGGGGGAGAGGACACGACCAAATATTTTACTTTAGCACTGATTGTCTTCATAAATAAGCGTTGAAGAAAGCAGAATATGATAAAGAAATGTCTACCAGCTGCTTCCATAAAATGCATGGTGTTTGTGTAACGATCTACAATTAACAGAAGACATTATTTCCGACTTAATCAGTCTGATCCTTCCCCTCTTTCTCACCCACATTTGACAAACATCACACTGTCAGAGCTGAGTGAAGCAACCAAGCGAAAGGAAGAGTGACATCAGGTATCCAAGAGCCACAACTGACCCCAGGCCTGCGTAAGGACACACATACACACACTCTCTCACACACACAGAAAACATCAAATGTCAAGTACGGGAACATGTTAAGAGAGAGTGGATGTGGCCTACATGGGATTACCATACTAGGGGCATCCGCTGCCCTAAAAGGGACTTCACTTCTATCAGGGCAGGCTGATCGGCGAGGCTGACAACAGTTTTATGGTGATTTTCCCTGACAGCTAGTAGAGACAAGTGGCTTCAAGGAATAGGAGGAGGTCGATTATGTGATGGGTCTTAAAGCGAGGCATCTGCTTTTGCAGGGAAAAGGACTTAGCATGTGACTCTCCTGTATGAATCACTCAAGTATTTATAATAACATGATTCCCTTCATGACTTCAGTTTGACTTTGCAAGTAGGAGTCATTTTCTTTCAGTGATTTGTCTGTCAGAACATAGAGACTCCATATATTTTCTATAGTTTGTTCCACTTTTAATATTTCTGATAAATGCAATTATGCGTAAAATGACAAAAAAGTTCAAAGGATGTCCACTTTGCAAGCTTACACCACCATATGCTTCACAAGTACTAAAAATAACCACTTTAAAATAGATATCTGTCCGTCCATCTGCCTGCTTGTCCATCTGTTTGTGCCAAGCTTAAAACAAAAAAAGAGTCTGTATCTTCATTTCTGAAATGAGGTCAGACACTTTAAAGTTCATTTTAAAAGCTCTCACTCCTGAAAGAAACCTGTAAATGAAAGGGAGGGAGATAGTGTTGTGTCTCCCTTGTCTTACATCAATAAGATGTGACCTCTATCCTAACATGTGTGCGCAGACAAATAACATCAATCCCGCCTGTTCCTCCCCTGCTAGTGCTGCGCTAACACCCCGATGAGCCGTTATATTGCTAACCCCTGAGAAAGGTTACAGCAGAACATGCTGTGCCTGCTGGAGCTTACAGTAACTTGTATTACTTTGTGGGTTTGTTTATGTGTGTGTGCGCAAGGGATCGCTTTATGTTGCAAGACCCTGTTTATTCCCCCTTTTTTAGAGACGAAAATATGAGTTTCCCCAAGGAGATGTTCAAATTTTAAGGGCAAGACTGAGATTGAATAGAATGTTGTCCATTATACTACATTTGGTTAAAAGATGCACTTCTGTTTGACTTGATCCACTTCTGTCACTCTGTCATTGTTTACTTGTTGCTGTTAAATGTACTCTGACCCTTTATTTTTGGAGGAGGGGACAGGTAGACACACAGTTTTATCAATGCACTTAGAAAATAAAGTCAACACGGGTGGGCACGTCCCCAAAATAAAGCCACATTGTTAAGGGGTGGTTAGGTTTCATTTAACCTAAGCTCTCAGGTACCCCTCACCTCCAAACATAAGCACCTTGTTTCCCCCCATGACAATTTTGGGCTCAAAAATGCCAAACTGGCTTTAAGACCCAAACCTAAAAATCAACGCAAGATATGACCAGACATGTAACTGATCAGAGTTGATCTCCAGTAAAATTTTGATTAAAAGTTTCTCCGTAGACATGGTGCACACAATTTATTTTTCGGTTTAATCTTCCACAACCAGATTAACAGTATGCACAAATAGTAGGCCTAAACCTGACATAGAACACAGAGTCTGACAGAACACCTTGACAATTTAGCAGGAAGTTCCAAACCAATGAACTTGGGGTTTTTTGTCCAATGAATCCAAGATTACAGACAGTGCATGTCCAGTTACTGGGTACTGGAATACAACGATTGCCGTGTATTTGGCAGTAGGTCATGTGGCTTTCTGACTAAAGTAGGCCATCCAGCACCCTGATTGTCTTAATATCACACTTCCAACCCTCGACTACTCTACAAACGTTATTGACAGACGACCCAACCACTATGTTCTTTCTTTTTTACATTAACCCTAGAACACTATCGCCAGGTGATTTTCACCCAACCATACATGTTTACGTTCACACATAAAGCGTTTTCTGCTGCGCTCTGACACGCCGGTCAGACATCGACTGAGCCCGGCAGTGCTCGGCCGTTTCCGTCTGCTCAGTTTTCCACACTTACAAGCACTTTAAAAATGGATAAATCAATATTTATTTACGTTTTTATTTCGTCATACATAAATTAAATATTGGCAGTATCTTCAAGTATTGTTTTAAATTATTATATAGGGGTAAACAACGAATAAATTGGGGAGTCTGTTGACTCCATTGTATGTGTAGCCTTGTTAGCTCGAGGCTATTGACTGTATCGTAATAAAGTCCCCCTCCTTTGTCTCAATAACATCACTGAATCTCTGCAGCTCTCCCTCCGTGTGTGTTTGTGTGTTCATCTGTAAAAAATAGACCGACAAGCAACACCGTAAATCCTTTTTTTCTAATTTATTGAAATTTATTTTATTTTGAAAATTGACCGGATTCTCTCGCATCTCCTGTTCCGACTTCCTGTCTGGTCCGATCTGCTCTGTCGCACTTTACAATTCTCGCGCGCGGCTCGCGCCAAAAATAGAGAGAAGCGGAGCGGCCGCGCTTCTGACATCCACAAGAGCTGAGGAATCATCTCCAGCGTCCACATGGAGTTTTCTGGAAAGGTAATCTATCAGAACTTGCTCGTATTTTACCTTGCTGGCATTCATGCACTCCAGCCGGGCTGTGTTTACAAACTCGAGGCTTTATTGCCCTGTAACTTAAAAGAGTTATAGACCGTGTTTACAGCAAAACACAATAAAAACACTGTAAAAATCAATACGAGTGGAAAACACCCAGCTACATGATGTTTATATTGAAAAATCTGATTTGTTATCTTTTGAATTTTGGCAATAAATACAGCAATGATACAGGTCAAAACAGAAAGTCAACATGTCATTTTAACCTCACTACTCACCTGTATTAAACTGCCTTCAGTCCATCTGTACTTCTCATTTTAAACTACCAATTAAGGGCTAAGTGCAGGTCAGTGCAAAAGGCCTGTTTTAAGACTTCACAACCGTTATTTCATCAAAAACAGTCAGTGTTTTGGCTATGTTTTAAAGACTATAAAACTAAACAGTTCATAAATCTGCCCCTGAAAATGCACGGCTTTCTGAGCAAAGCAAACTCTTCTGTAGAGCAAGTATGGCATTAAAAGTTAGAAATCAGGATTTTGAGAGAAATATGTCAGGTTTCAGACAATTATGTTCCCTAAACAATGGCTTATAAGAACTCTGGTGATGCTTTGTCTTTTAGTCAGGCCAACCATACAACTAATTCAGTTTTAAAACTACATCAATACACTTACCAGGCTAACTACAAAATAAAGGCATATTAAGATGCCAAACATAGAATGGACAGCGTCTGCCTCCTAGCTGGGTAAAGCCACTCCGAGAACAGCACCCTCTGGTGACGGGCTGCAGTATAGGTCATAAATCTCGCCTCCGCCAGCAAAGCTAATGGAGCTGTTGACAAACTTTAGAAAATTATTACACAGAATATACATTTTCGCTTTTCATGTTTTCTATGATTGACACTTGATACAGTCCATGGGTGTACGAAGATTACATAGCTCGTCTTGGGATTCACTGTTTGAGCCGAGCGTCATCACAGCGACTCTCCCGCGGAATGCGTACAATGCTACTGCGCAGTGTTGGTTTCAGGAAGTGGAGAAAAATCTTAGAAATACCGAGAGCTTTTCGGCCTCAAACCCCTATACTGGTGGAGGGAGCAACCAAGTTGTCCATAGTATATACAGTCTATGATGCCAAACCATCAACATATCAGAATAGTCATTGAACGTGATCTTAGTTTAGATTTAGTTTTATCAATTACTTGAATAAATTCAGACTAGTATTTTGTTCATTCACTAATGCCAAATGTGTCTGCATTTGCAACCTTACCGGCAGTATTTTACATGCATTTGAGGTTTTTCACTGACTCATCCCCATCTGCTTCACTTCCCAAACTTTCAAAATGCCAAGAATGACTTTAAACTCAGTCGCTTTATGTTGACAGCTCTAAATGTCAGCAAGAGGTTAACCTGAGTGTTTTGAATTTTAGTGCTAAAATATTTAACGTTACCCCTATTAAAACTGCACCAAAGATGATTTATTCATTTAGTGTAGCATTTCAGTTTTTTTTCTCTGTTTTTTTTTATCTGGTTTGTGGACTGTCAGTGATTGACCAGGCAGGTAATGAGGACATGTCATGAATACATCACTTGCTGAGGTGATTTAATTGGACCACATTGGCATCATTAAAAAGCACAGGTGCTTCCAAATCAAAAATGATCAATATTTTCAAATAGAAGATACAGAATGAGCAAGACAAATATGCTTCAAGCAGATAGGTGTAATACCGATGAGTGAACGAGTTTGCAGTGTGATTGTTTCACACTAGATCTGCGCAATGAGCAACACAGGTCAATTAATCCTGCCCCCAGAAGTGTGTGACAAAATTGCCAAATAGCCTGATGACATTTGTCTCATACTCCACTGCTTCTCAAAAACTACATGCTGAATAACAGGTAGCATGAAAGCAATTTAGCTATGTCTTGGAAATGATGTCTAATTAGTAACTTTCTGCAGGCTTCCACCTGAGATCCTGATAGAGATTCTTTCGTACCTGGATGCCTCCACTCTCTTCACCATGACCCATGTCAGTAAGCTCTTCTATCAACTCTCCAATGACAAGTAACTGTCAGCCAGATCTTGTCAATGCAGCATACACAGCAGATTCATCCAGTAAAAAGGACTAAAATGTGTCAGAAGTAGCCAGTAAGGTGAAGATCTGCCACTTTCAATAACTTTGAAAATGAATTTAGTCACTAATTATTTTCATGTTTATTTAACGAGCCATTTGGTACAATTTTAGAATGTCCTAAGACTCTAAGTCCCTTGTTATTCAAATGGAATTTAAATACAGACAAACCGTCTAAAGAGAATGCACTTTAAAACCATCATAGTCTGCAGGAGAACCATGCCAATTTGGTTTCCTGACTGTGACTAACATTAGCAGAGTTAGCACCACCAGCTAATGGGTCGCTACACACTGGCACTGGTTACATGCTACTCCAGTCAAAACATCAGTTTAACAGAAAATCAAAATACTGTCAATCTGTGCCATGCTATGAGATGTCAATGTAACATTTCAGCATTATGGCAAAAGATATTAACTAGAGATAAAGCCTGGCCTGTGTCAGCTTGGATCAACATTTTGGACCTGTAGGAAAAAAGAAAAAGACAATTCTCAATCATGTAGTTAGCTAAACGCACACATCTGTAGTCTGAATTTAACATCTTATAGGTAAACGTGTTCATAACAGTTTCCATGAGCAAAACTTTACTCATAAAAGTATCCTGACTGATGCATTCAATTTCTGTTCTTTTGTTGAAGACAGATGAAAACAAAACATCTAACTTTTGCAAATTTTAACAAGTGAATTCTTGGCATTTGTGTATTTCTAGAGTGCTTAACGGACAGTGAAAATTGTTGCTTTGATAAAAGAACGTCTGGGAAAGTAATTTGCCTATTAGTTTGAGATTTGGCAATCATTTCTGGAACATATTTTAAAAAAATATCCAATACCAGAACTGTGAAACATTTTTACAAAGCTTTTTTTTCTGTGGTAAGAAAGGCCATCTGGCTTATTTTGATGGTAATTGCTTACTTATAGATCAAGTTTAAGTTGGATTTGTTTGCTAACATAGCAGAAATATGATGTGTAATCTCAATTGTGTGCATGCTTATTTATTTATTGGTTGAATGATTATGAATGCTAGTTTTGTCAATGATTTATATACACAGTTACTTTAAAATTACAAAAAAAAACAGAGGTAAAGAGAATGTGCAGGTAAGGAAAGTCCCTAAACTCATTATTACCTGCCACCAAGTAAAACCTACTGCATTATCTTGTGAAGCAAGGCTTTCAAGCCATTACTGAAAAGGCTTTCTCTGACTTTTGGCTCCTCTGGCTTGTAAAACATAGAAAAATATATCCCAAAGATTCAAACACAGAAGTTAAAATTTACAGAGGAATTCAACTATGAGAGCAAATAAAGCGAAAATTTAAACCTTGTGAGAAAGTATAATTTTCTCACACAAAACTAAGAGAACACACACCTTTAAAAAACAGCTATAAGTTACCTCGTATCCTCTCGAGATGACATACCAGCCATAACATACTATATTTGGTATCAATCATGAATTTGTCTGGCGTGTCACTCAAAGAAATCTCCAATTCTCCTCATGCAGCATCCTCTGGAAGAAGATCCACAATGCAAGGTTTGTTTACCACAAATCGGCACATCACAAGCATTGGTACTGTTCGATCATCCCGGAGCATGGTTCGACTGTGGGCTTCTGGAGGAGGCATCACTTCAGGACTGTGGCTGGACTCGACATTCAGTTGGTGTTGAGAGAACCTTGGCACATCAGCCATCGCACAGGGCTGCTCATGCAGATTGAGCAGATCCTCAGGTGAGGGATGGAGCCAGGCAAAACCAGAACAGTATTTTCTTTCATTTGTTTTAGATTTCTCAGGGAATCTTTTAAGAAAAGGACATTGCTGTGCTGTTTTTAGTGATTCAAAAACAGGAGGTGTGATGACAGTACTTACTGTGCTGTTATCAGCTCGTTGCTCTCTGTAAAGTATGTTTAGGTGTTTACAATCAGAGGCAGCTCTGTCAGGTATCATGGGAGCCCCTTCATCGTTAGCGGTTAGCAAATAGCAAAACTTGAGAGATCCACACTTGCTGTCAAAAGAGTTCAAGGGTAGAAACGAGAGGACAGTTCAAGCCGCTGGCAATCAAAAACAGGGCTCGGTTTGTTTTTCATATCGCACTTGATGACACTTTCTTATTAAAGGTGAGAGCAGAGGTCTCTGTCTGAACAGCATGTCCGCTCAGGGGGATGCCAGCACACGGGGGAGCGCTCCCCTCGCTGCCTCCGCTGCGGTTTCTGCTGTGTTTTTATAACCTCTGATTAGAGGCTGTGCAGCACTCAATTTTGAGTTCTGTGGCAGTCGCTCTGTTACAAAGGGGAAGTAGAAATAATTGTCTTCCGAGCAGAGGCTGTCTGAATTGTTGAAATAAATTACTTAGCCTCCCAAACTTCGCATCCACACCACACACACAAACATGCTTCCTCTTCCTCCCTCCTCCCACCGGCTCAGACAATTCCCCAGTGGGGGTTTGTCTGTTAGAGACACTGAGGATCTTGCAATTTACCTTGGTAATAATCATTTCAGAAGACATCACACAGACATACAGACAATGCAGAGTGAAGTCCCCTGGGTCATCCGGGGCCCTGTGGGCTGCTCCAGTTTTTAGCTTTGTTCCTCCACTTAATTGATATTGGATGGTGCCTCAGCAAGACACCGCCTGCATCACAGTAGGGGCAGCCTTGGATCACAGCTTAGACAGAACTGGATCAAGAGATTAATCACGAGAAATGCAGTTTTATTTTATCCACTGCATGCATTCATTAGCTGAAACTGAAGTGATAATATTTTCAGGCTGCTGTCAAAGAAAACATAACAGCCGCTAAAGCAAGAGTCATCGTTACCCAACACTGATGATGACTCTGTATTGTACTTCCCCTTCAAATAAATGTGAAGATTTTATGAATCCACGTGACTTTAAAGAAATGCAAGATATTCTCTGCACAATACTATTCCCTCATTTGTGTTTAAAAAAACTTCCTGAATTTGTGAGCTTCACTTTTGAGGTCTTGATTTGAGGTCTGTGGCCCTAAATCCTTCACCACACCCACAATCGTAGAGATCAGGATATTTTAGTTTCTCGCTTGGGGGAATACTACTCTAGGAAAACGTAGTTTTTGAAACTAAATTGAAAAAGATTTAAATGGACTTTAACTCTCATAACTTAAGTAACAACAATGAATAGATTCTCTGGTCTTGAAAACACCCTCATAAGAAAAGAGCAAACATTACTGAAGTTTCTTGACCTTTTTATACTCGGCGCTGATTGCCAGTCAGGCACAGGTGGGTTTGATTAGCTAGTGTAGTAAGGCTTAAAGGAGAAGAGGGAGAAAACAAGACCAACCCCCCCACCCCCACGGTATGAAGCAACAGTGTGTGATGAAGAAATATAGGGTTGCTGTTACATCCCTCCTTTTTATGTAAATATTAAATTTCTAGTATCTTCATTCACTTCCTTTACAGTGTGTCCATCAGAGACAGATTTTACTTCATCCTTACAGCACTACCGCCTTGAAGCGGGCGTTCAATGTTATACAAGTATTCTCAAAACCCTTAAATTTAACCTGGAGAATCTTGAGGTTACCCAATTAAAAGTAACAAGCCTCTTCATGTCTGCTGTGTTTGTGTGAATCATTAGCCCAGCTCTCACCCTTTCTACACTACGAATAAACGACTTTAATTTCACTGCAAACATTTGACATGCTTTCCTCTGATCTTGCATTGTGTTTATCTTGCCCCAGAAAACTTCATGTCACCTTTGAGTTGACGGTCTCTACTAAGTCAAGGCAGGAGGACACATATGAGCCGCGCTGTTCCCACGTCGGTGAGACTTTTGTGACTCTGCTCTGGGATGGAGCGGGCCGTTTGCCCGACTACCAGGAGATTTCAACCCTTCAACTGCACGGCGTCAAGAGGGTGGCCCTCAACTGCCCTGGCTTAAAGGCGTAAGACAGCTTTCTCCACTCCTCTTCTCTATGACTTTGTTTTCCATTTAACTGACTATCTACTTTGCTTTGCTCTGTCAGACCTGGCTTGAGGTCCTGCATGGAGGAAATAGACATGCATGCTCTGGTTCAAAGTGCGCAGGTCATCGGTAAAGATCAACTGGTTGAACTGAAGCTGCTGCAACCTGGCATTATCATTGGAGTCCGGAAGGTTTTTCTCACGTTTTTGTTCCCCAGTTTCCTGCCGAAGGGCTACTTTTGGCGTAAAATGATACATTTATGAGGAGAATTTGGTCAGATTTTGAAACCATACCTTTCATTTAGGACCAATGCTCTGTCGCCTTCATCATGTTCACCCTCCACTTCCACATGCTGGAGGACAGAAGCATCTGGAAATATTTTGGCTGGTAGGTTGCACTTGAATGACTCCTTTTTTTTTTTTTTCACATTCACATGCTCACACGGCGTGCAGTGTATCACCATCAGATGGTTAGGGCTCAAATTCAAAGGGTGCGATAACTGACAGGATTCATTTGATGCCCCGCGATGTGATGCACAGCAAGGGAGGAGATTTGAAGCGCCGGCATCACTGACACCCGATTTTCACCCTCATAGAGGATATTGTTACTGCTTTACGTGTTTATATATAGAACCCTCCAGTTGTCATGTGTGAGGAGCTGTTACAGCAGCGATTTTGTTAATCATCTTCCATCAGGACAAAACCAATGCAGGTGCTAATTATAAGCAGGCGAATTCACTCATTAGCAGAAGCTTAAACCCAGAGAGAATAATTATTGGGGGAAATTGCCTCTGAAGAGTTTGGTTTGAACTAATTTGATTAAAAACTAGTGAGCTAGATAAGAGGTTCCCAACCTTGGGCGGGGGTCCCTGAAAGGCCCCCTAAATTAGAAGTGAAACAGAAGTTATGTACTTCCTTTTTTTCATAGTGCCAATTATTAAATCTCCAAAAATCTTGGAGTCAAAACATTGAGAAGAAGAAATCTAAGACATGGCAAGAAAGCTACTTTTATCCTCTGTTAAAAAAAATCCATTGGTTTAAACAGCTAACTAAAACTTAACACAGCAAAGAATGAAAACAAGAGCAACTATAAAAAAGAACAACAAGAAGCAACAAAGATAAAAAAAAATGAGAACAATGAGAACAAAGACTCACACAGAGTGACCAAGCAAGAATGGGTAGCCTTATGAAACACACACAAAAACAGTACCGTAGTACAAAACAATTTTAAGAGCAAAATGAGTCACCCCAACCCCTACCTACTTGACAAGATGTCTGACTTACCTAACTAGTCTTCAGTGGCTTGCCGAGCTCGAGGCACCACCTAAGTGTGCCCCCTCCTCAGGATTACCACCAAAAGTAAGAAAGGCAAAATAAAAAAGCGGCAAGCTCTTCCCTGCCCGGCGACTAAATAATCAGGGTGCTCAGAAGTTACAAATAAAAGCAACTACTAATGATAGTGACAGAAACAGAAGACTAACAAACCCAAACTATGGTCACTAGTTACGAAAGGAAAAAAAAAAACAAAAAAACAAAACTTAAAGAAAAACCTCATGGGGCCGCTGTGGGCCACATTACATATACTGTTAGTCCATTTGATGTCACACAAAAGTTGGTTGTCCCTAAGCAACTGATTATATTGCTATGCTAGATGCTGTGGAGGTCTGCTCTGAAGCCTGAACCTTCACTTAGAGTGGCCATAGCCCCCTCTGCTGGGTTCTTTTGAGAGTGCACTGTTATGTCAGCATATTATGGTAAAAGTCCATCTGCATTTAAAAAAACAAACAAACTCTAAAGTGTCTTATTTATCACATACTTTTTCTGTTTCAGTTTGACCTTTTTTACTTATATTTTCTTTCCTCAGGCCCCCCAAGATGATGACTAAAGCCCCTTTTGATGACACAGACCCTGAGTACGGCCTCCATGGCTACCATCTGCACATTGTTCTCCACAACACTGAATGCAAGATCATGTCCAGGAGCTTCCCCCGGCTCTTCTACTGGAGAAGTAATTAATTTACAGCCACGTTCACTGAGTCACAGAGTTAGATGATGCTGATAATATTCACTGTCTGTACTGCTGTAGGCCATATGGGGTTTAAAGAGTGTACATTGTCATATAAAAATAAATCTTTTGAATTTTCAGTGGTGACACAAAGGCAAGAATTAGTTTACTCTGCCATGTCACATTTCATTCTGTCTGATTTTGCTGAACACTTCAAGGCCTTGCATCCTCAAAATTTGGGACAGTTTGATTACCTCTGCCAGGATATCTCACTCTAAAATACTTTAAAACTAACTTGTTGTTACCTGTTTGTTTTGACTTTGCACAGCCCAGATCAACGAGGGTCTGATCCAGCTGAGTGTCATTGGCAGGGGAAAGCTGTGGACACACACACCTCTATCAGGAAGCATCACCCTGCCCTGGAGGTGTGAGGCCCTGCAGGGCACAGTGGAGGTACGACATGAGCTGTAATGTCTCTGGCTATATTTTGAACAAAATCCAGAGTACCTGAAGTTCTGAGGATAAAGATGCTACATTTTATTTACTTGAAAGTCAGTCTCTCTTCATATTTTCTCTGAATTGCTGCATCATGTCGCTAACTCTGCTGGACGGGTTCAGGCACCTTTTCTGGTGTGTTTCTGAATAATTGTGGGTAGTCTCAACAATTCATTAAAGCGCCTGTCAAAAAGAAAAATTTCTTCCTGGAGTTTTTTTGTTGAAAAGCACTTGAGCTTCTACTACAGATAATACAGTCATGACGTTTGTGTTTTATACATGCAATCTGCTTTTTTAAGCATCCCTGTGCAGATCACAGTCGACCTCTTTCACTGAAGGTAGAATACAAACTGAATGTGTTATATGAGCTCAGAGGTGATCTAGGTTTGTCATTCTCTCTGACCTTACACAACGTTTTCTTTCCACTCTGACTTTAAGTGACTGTTTTCATCGGAGGTCACCTTGTACGTGCACACAGTTTGAAAGATGTTATCTTTTCATATAACACCTTGAAGAGACTCAGTAGTACTGCTGACACCCCTCATTTTCCTGCTTTAATTATTCAGTTTGCTTTCTTTCACCTGAATTTCCAAGTTTCTGGATTATAACTTATAATTCTTTGTTGCCAAAGTAATATCTTAAAAGTAATATCTATCTTTGAATTTTGTTTTAATATGTTCATACTTTCTTTAATTGTCTAACCTCAAACATAAAGACAGTTAACTCATCTTTTGCACTTATCAACTAAATACTTTAAAACGTTCCCCATTACTTTTGCATGATTCACACACACTTTTGTCCCTTTCCTCATGGCATTTACACTTGAACACACTCACATTACCCCAATTGGATTCACAGCCATCATGCAATTACTATCACAAATTAAATTTGAAAGTAACGTCCACACCCTGGGCAAGCCTTGCACAAGCGATAGAATTAGTGTGGATGCAATAGTTGGATACAGTTGCTGTGCAGCTGATGGGCCAGCTCTGCTGATGGCAATAAATAAGCCAAACCTCAGGGTAATAGGATTTCAGGGGCTTCCTTCTCTTCTCTGTCTCTGGGGGACATCATCACCTTGAAAAAGATGCTTATTTTTCCAAACACATCACCGACTGGATTGGCACTGGATCCAAAAATTAATTTGGGGAAATGAGCCAGAGGGACAAAGTGAAGAGTAACAGTATGTGTGATGAATTGTTCTTTGTCAAAACTTCATGATTAAATTAAGACCCCAAAGCTCCTCAGGGGAGGGAGACGGTGTCTGAATCATAAGGAGTCCATGTGTTGACACGTTCCTGATGGGCCTTGAGCTTTCCAACTCCATCCATATATAACAGCGCTGTTGAATGGCTCGGTGGCTTCTGTTGAATGGCTTTATGGATAAAAATTGCTGCACTCTGAGTGTTGACTTGGCTTTTGAATACACTGACAAATCACTTACTGCTGGCTATTATTCTGACTGGACGACGTGTACCATACCGCGTACACATGTTGCAACACATTTCTATTAAAGTGACCTTCATACAACTGTTTGCTGTCATGTCAGCTGCTGCAAACTGCCAATCCTTCATGTTTCCTTAAATTGGAAAAAAAAAAAAAACTACCCGGCGAGGGTATTATTGGCGACTTAATGGACTCACAGAACATTTCACCTTTAATTCATTGTTTAGGTCCAAACAAGGAGTATGGATTTGAAGGGGCAAGGGCTAAAGACTGAAATATTTAGACCAGAAATTCCAGATATCTTGATGCACATGTGTTTGTTTTTAGTGTAGTTTCATAGATCCTCCTCCTCCTCACCTTTAAGTCCCTCTACGACCTGGCCCCCCCTACCTGTCTGACCTCATTGTCCGCCACACCCCGAACCTCCCCCTCCGCTCAGCTGATGCAAACCTCCCCTCACCCCCAGCCAAAATCAAGCACCGTACCCTGGGGGACCGGGCCTTCAGCGTCTCTGCCCCCACCCTCTGGAACGCCGTCCCTAAACACATCCGTGAATGCCCGGACCTCATCATCTTCAAATCTGCCCTCAAAACCCACCTTTTCACACTCGCTTTTATTACCTAAACCCCCCGACTCACCATTATCCCACCTCTCACATCTGCCCCTCCCACCTGTATTCTTTTATTCTTTTTATTCAATTTTATCTTGTTTTTAGCTTGTTATTATTAATCTTTGCCTCACTCTATTTTTGTAGTGTCTTTGAGCTCCTGTAAAAGCGCTATACAAATGAAATGTATTATTATTATAAATATGAACTTATATAGCTTTCATAAAGAGATTTTGTTCAATTTAGACCAGAAATTCAGATATCTTTATATAAAAGCATGCACATGTGCTTGTTTTTAGTGTAGTTTCATATAGCCAGTTGTCCAGTAGATGGCTCTCTTTAGTAAACAATGAGTGTCAACAGCTCACTGGTTTACATTTTCCTTATCCTTCAGTCAGATCACGCACTAAAATATGTATAAATCCTGTTTTATCTGCAGAATATGAATGCCTTTTCTATTAATGATTCCTGCACTACACTTAAAATAATTCACACTCTCTCTCTTAAAGAAAAACCCCAAAACATTTCTTATGTCCTAGTTTGTTGCAAAGTAATTACAAAACTCTGTGTTAATCAAAATTCAAGATTTCATCATCAAATAAAAAGCAAGAATGAATCCACAGCCAAACCACTGAAAGGGCAAATTTAGTGGCAAAAAGCTTCATTACACTCATTTTTCTTAGTTTCCTCACAGGCTAATCTTGGAAGAAAATTGCTTCCATTTTTAGCTCCTAATTCTCTCCCTTGTGAGTGACCAGCTGGGTCCGCAAACTATTCAGCCTCAGAAGCCAATGACACAGTCCTTATTTAGCCCTCTCATTGGAGGACAACAGGCAGCTAATGAAGAGCACCAGGAGGAAGCTGGATTACATTTAACATACGTGGATTTTGACTGTCTATAAAGACACTGGACTCTATTTACATCTCCCAAAAGACTGGGAGATAATCATAGTCTTTATCCCCACTGAAGAGGGCAAAGCCTCCTCTTTTTCTAACCCCCAACTGACCACAGTTGTTATCCTTTTGGGTGAGTGCTGTGTGCTGAGGGAGTTAATTATGCCTGTAATTATCAGAAAAAGTACCAGCCATGACACCAAAGTCAGAAATTGCTTTTGGAAGCTGTGAAATTAATGAAAATGGGTTTTTCTTAATGCCATATCATAACAGATGGTCAGGCGTTTACAATGCTGACAGAGACCCTCCTACTGTACCACTGACATTCAGTAACCTGATAGCAGGAGAAAGCTCCCACAGCCAACTGTATCATAATAGGCCCATGATGCCCAGCAAGATGCCCAGTTTATTCTTCTCTTTAAATGCTGCATCAACACCAGACAGGTGTGGAGAAATGCACTTATATCAAAGCTGTGGCCGCAGGAGTTCAACAGGGGTACTGCTTCTGTTGTATTTTTCAGAGCTGCTTCAGTCTGCAGAGATATACTGTAAAATGTGTTGAAAATGTCCTGATATCCCAGTAGTGCCGACCACATGCAGCTCTCTGTGTAGTTGCAGGGCAGAAGGTTATATACATAAGTTCCAGTCTTCAGTGAGCTTGTGGCACAGATTGTATCGATGTTCAAAGATGATGGCACTAAAAAAAAGTTGGTCTACCTCACTAAAAAAAAAAAATCCGACGTCTTCTGCGGATCTAAACGATTTCTGCCGACTTTGTAGAGTCAACTGCAGAATTAACGGCATTCTGAATGAACGGGGCTTTAAAAAGTCCTGCAGCATGTGTTAGACGTCACATCTACACATGGACCAATCAGGGGCTGCCTTTCCCTGTTGTCCGGGTAACAGTAGAAACACGGTCTCTGATTGGCCCGGTTATTTTCTGATCGGGAATACACGCTCTCTATGGGCCGAAGTCCAGACTGTTGTGGGAAGGAACGTCAAGTGATTCACGCAACAGGATGGCCCGGCCAGGCTAAGAATAACTGAGTTCCGTGTCGGAAATTCATCTGGAACGACCCCCTGAAGTTGGATTTCTGACTCGGAAAGTCAGACGATCCTCACCAACCGCGGCTTGACGACAATGTCATAATGCAAGATGGCAGCACAGTGCATAAACAGTAAAGAGTAACAGTGAAAGCTCTTGTAATGTATTATTTATCAGCACTTCTGTTCTGTTTTTGTAAAATTAAATACGTGGTATATGTTTTACTGCCCAACGTCTAACTGTGAACACGGTGCTACGGTGTTTGTAAGAGTAAAATACATTAACAACCGCTGACAATTGTAAACAACAGCTAACAAAAGAAACTGTGGACATCCATCTTGGTCGACTAACTGGAATGCCGTCAACTTGGGTGTTACGTCATTCCCAGCTCCGACATCCAATTTCCGAGATAACTGAAATGCAGCATTATTGTCATCTTTTGTAATTAGTTAATTATTAGAACTTTATTAACCTTATTTGTTGGTATATGGCTTTCTACAACTACGCTCGTTAACTGCTTAGTTTTTTATTGTGCTCTCTAAGGCCTCTCTGCCGCTCTACACATAATTTATAACTTTCATAACTGCACTCTAAATATTATTTGTGTCCAAAAACAAATTACTCACCACTATTCATTTCTCACCTCCTTACAGAGGTTACTCACTGTGTGCTGGAGAGTGCGAGGAGTGGCATGAGTCAGCATATTATCCACTACTGTAGAGGAACTGCTTTTCACTTGGATGACTAGTTTGTATTACCCTCACAGTAACATCCTGTGACTGTCTGGTCTCAGAGCAGATGTTTGGTAGGCAGGTGAACTTCAAACTGCGGTCTGATCCTGCAGTCTTCCACTCCAGTTTCAAACAGGATGGCCTGGTTTTTGAAGAACAAAGCTGAATTTCTGGGTTTATTTTAAAAGTCCATCCCTGACATTTTGTGCCTTTTTTCAGGCCAGAGTTTTTTGGGTAAGAATTAAGCTGGTGATAGTATCCTGTCCGTTTAGCTTAAAATAATGTCTAAAAAACGAGAAGACTGTTGCCAAAATGTAAGTCCAGTTAAAGTTATCTTTTAAACCTAGAAATAAATGAAAGTAAACTAACTATGTCATTCTGATGGCAAACTGTTGCTTATCTCATATCCCTAAACAGTGTCAAGACTGTGACATTAAGCCAAATAAACATGTTTTCTTCCAAACTTAAGCAAAATGTCACATCCAGCACATTCTGTGGGATGCTAAAATCAGGCAGGCTTCCCAGAAAAGAGTCTGGGCTTTGCTTGAACAGAGTTCTTGGAACAATTGGTTTTAGTGCAAAGGTCTGTGCCTGAGGCGAACGCTATTGATCTGAGCCACTATTAAGAGGAATAGACAGAGAGAGGAAGCAAAGCAGAGAGGCAGGATTTCTAGGCACACAAAGGAAGCCTCTGTCATGATGTTTGGATGCATAGGTAAAAGGGGACTAACAGCTGTAGTTTGCTTTATATTTTGGTTATATTTCTGGTCAATTACAACCAATCTTGCATTGTTTGTTTTCGCTCTTAACTCCCAACAAGGCTTTACGTTATTAAAAACCCTGTGGTTTGCTGTATCCATGTCACAGCATGTTGTTCCTTAGACTTTTGACACGGGGAGTCTCCTTGGGGACTATTACTCACTGCTCATGACAGGCTTGTTGCTGGGAAGTGCCACATTGAGGTCTTCATTACCAGATGACAGTTATGCCTCAATGAAAAATCAAACAGTATTTGGGTTCATACAGGATAACTGCAGATGCTCTCAGGTTTGGCAGTCTGTTTCAAGTCTAAAATGTAATGCAGGATCTGACCACCCAGATTAAGAAATGTAAAAAACAAAACAAAACAAAAAAACGTACTATTATCTCATCTATTGCATGCATTTTCAGGGCCAGCCCTCTGTTAGGATGTGATTGCAGTTTAATCACATCTCTGTTGTGAGGCCGCCTGCATGTGACACCCATTAAAGATGATGGCCGTCATTGTGCAGGGAAAACATTTCCACATACTTGCACCTGTCGCTAAAGCAAATTAAGACTGATATGTGGGCAGTCTGCCACATTGATACTCGGGCCTTTCCCTCGGACACCTGCCAAATCATCTAAATGTGGCTGAGTCATAACAGTGTCTTAAACTTATAGGAATGCAATGAACCACGATGGATGCAAGCTTTTATCAATATCAGGTTTTGATGAAATTTCACTTTATCTTGTTTTCATCAGTTTATCTCCTATTTTTCTCCATCTGTCTCTTTGTTTTATGGTACAACAAAGATCTGGTTCCTGGGGATGTATTAAAAATTTAGGATTCATTCCTCCAGTTGCTATGGTGATAACCCTTGACTGAATATCTCTGACCCTACTGGACATTGGTTGAAGCATACGGAGGCTAACCTTTGGACCTCTGTTATCTTAAAAACAGACATGCATAGAATTTTACATTTTGCTAACCAGGTGAACGAGGAAAGATGCAGTTTTGTTAAACACATCAAAGAGAGTGCAACTTCAGTCTGAAAGGAAAGAAAATTGGTCGGTGTATCACTTCAGTCTTTTGCTGCAAGTCTGATTGTGACTAATTGTGCTCTATACTGATACCCTTTAGTAATCGAGTACTTGTTACCATCATTAGTCGAGTATTGTCACGCTACTTGTTCTTGGCGAAAGCATTGTGGCTCAGTTAGCTTACAGGTACATGCTTCATGTCAGCCATGACCAGGAAAAGTGATGTGTGGAAGTATTGTGACCAAGAGAGCGACAATGAGTGACGATACCATAGCAGAGATCAGTCTACTTGTAATGGAATTGGTGATTGGAGATCCGCTCTCATTAAGTTTTGTGGAAGGGGAAGGCCTCTACGAGCTGATGGCATCTGTTGAAGACACAAATCAACTACAGGAGTGCAAGCAGGTTGAATTATGTGTGTGTAGAAACTTTAGCAGAACTTAGGGCTGTTTTCCAGGGTTGACAACTGGCTGTCACCACAGACCCACGGAGTTGTACGTTACTGTTACTTTTCATTGGGTATTGAAGACCGCTGTCCTTTAGACATGCAGTACCGATGAAGGTTGCACAAAACTTATGGGGCTTTCACACCAAGTACAAGTAAAACCATCTATTCGCGTGAATCAACAGCAATGTCAACGGTAATCCCTGCCAATTCAACCGGCGGTGATCAAGTGATAGACAAAGGGTTTTTTACAATTTACCAGGTAATCCGACCTCCTTACTCCTTTTTATTCCAGTTTCAGTAATTGAAAGAAAAGGTATCATATAATTCAGGGCACCCACACACCGAAACGATCAGTTTTTCCTCCATTTTAGATGCAAGTTAACAACTATCCATTTTCATACATCACCCAGCAGCCTTCAAGCTGGGTAATTAATGCGACGAGAATATCCGCTCAAGTTGAGATTCGCCCAATTCGCTTCATTTGCACCCCTAGAGTTGTAGGAGCGTCTAATCGCGTCTTTGCATTGATTTAACATGTAATTCATTGGCGCAAATGATTTTACTTGCGCATAGTGTGTGGAGACAGTTAGTCGATTTTTACTCGATAACCTGTTCATGAAGTGATTCATAAAGATTACTCTAGATGCCCATCCCTACTCTGTAGCTATGGACTACTGCTTATTTATTCATACATGACGTGGAGCCAATATTAATTCAGTCCTGGCCCACACTTCGCTGGATTGAAATGAATGTGAAAGGTCAAGTGTGGTCTACCTCACTTCATTTCTCTGTCATCTTAATCAAACGTAAGTCCCTTAACTCACTCACCCTCTCCACGAATGAATGTGTTAGAGCTGCACGGGATTGATGAATGTTATTCTTCCGTTGAAACAATCCTCGAGGTGCCATGTTAAATAATGACCAACAGATCTGACTAATGAGTTCAGTTAGCGGCGGCTGACGTGGGAGCTTTCGTTTGCCTCTCTTACTTTGTGTGCTTGTGTGATGAGAGATCTCCATTCGGAGGCATGATGATGATTGATACAGCTAGGTCTCAACTTTTCCACCAGAGTCTCCACACTTCATGATCACTTACCTATGGTATTAGTAAGATGAATGGTTCTCCCTTGTCTGGAAGTCGAGAGGTAATTTTGTCCTACGCTCACGTGAAATTAATAGGGGAGGAAAAAGAGGGGAGAAACACGGCTTAATCCTGATCACTGGAAAGTAAAAGAGATCATTTTTCATGTTTGCATAAGTGGTCATGCTGTAAACACCCCCTACAGCTCAACAAGGTCTACAGAGACTTTGCATTGAGATGAGGGCATTCATTTTTTAATCCTGGCTTATGGATATAACAGTTGAAAAACACCAATAAATAACCAAGGCTGTACTTATTACGGGTTTCTCAAGGTTTCAAGTAGTACATTTCTTTCAGCCATATTCTCACAAGAGAGCAGGAACCCTATAGACAGAAAATAGTGGAGTGGCCACAAGAAGGCACTGAAGCACCTCCTCATTCTCTCGCCGTTTTCCATCTTCCAGGGAACAGCCGTGGCGAGAGAGCTTTCTAGTAAAAACCCTGGTGGAGTTTTACAATGAAAGGTATTCATGGCGTTTTTCCTTTGAAAGAACACTCAATTGAAATTAATCGTTTATCTTTTTCCAAGGACTGATTGTACTTAAACATTTTTTTGTGAGGACTGCAAGTCATAACCCAACTGTTGCAGCAGATAAGCAGAAAATCTTTTTCATAGGTCTATGAAATTTTGTAGTATAATCTGTCTAGTTGTTTTGCCCCAAAGCCTTTTTTTTTTTTTTTGTGGGAGATTTTTTTTTGGTCAGGCTCGATAAAAGCATCCTAGTATTGACTTAGTGCTTGAGGTGAACGCTCAAACAGCAGCTGTCTTTTGGGAGATTGCTCTGCTTGTCAGGCAACGTAAGGACACATCAAGACAAAAAGAAAAAGAAAAAACACCTACTCTACTCAGATATTTTTCTCTTTTGTGCAAATTTCAGTGGAGAAATTAGCCTGTCTCTACTGTACACCTTTTAAAATGCAGATTTGAGGAACAAAAGTGCATTAATCTGTCATCGGTAACACTTTAAATCCATCCCTAGCACCTTGAACAAAAGATTTTTCAAACTCTACATGCTAAACCCAAACTGCTGCAGGAAGTCCCAGAGGAAATGACACCAGAATGTAGAATAAAAGGAGCATTTTTATTGTATGCTGTCTCGGTACGTCAGGTAACATCATTTATACAAATACTACTCTGTATGTCATCTAGGGTGGAGCTGAAGTTCAATGTGAATAAATCAACCTGTAAAAAAGAACCGGTTTGGTGTTCGACCTGATGTCCAGGTGTCATGACAGAAATCATTTCTCTGCTCTAGTGACTCCTCTGTTCCCTTTTCTATCTGTGGCCCGGTTGTGCCGTCTCCCACACCCTCTCATCATCACTTTTTGCTGTACTCGCAACCTTGCAGGTCGAATCGTACCCTGCATCTCATCAGAGAATATTACCTAACACTCGGAGGACAACATTCATCAACGTCACAGGGGCTTTTGCCAACAGTGCATTTCTTTCTGTGTGTGCCATGAGTCCATTTCTATTGGTCTCACAGCTGCAGGGCAGGTTACCTTGTTTGACCTGTGCCACCTCAGCACCGCCCTAACAGTATCTCTTTCAAGGTTCTTTATCTTAAGTTTCTGCTGATGTGAACTATCTCAGAGATCCTTTTCGTCCCGGTCTCAGATTGAGTTTGCAGATATTCTGGGGTTGTTATTTTAGCCGTACATTCTGTCAAAGGGAAATGAGCACTCATAGATCTAAAATTAAGAACATGGCAGCAAATTTTATTAAAATAGAGCTGTAAAAAACATCATTATGCAAACAGATTAATCATCTTAAATATGCTGTGAATGAAATGAGAGCTACAGATGGCCAAATTATACATTTAAAGCAAACACAACTCAAATACACAAATGATGTACAGTCAGAATAAAAAGACCCAGAAAACAAATGTAACAGAAGAATCACATAGACATATGACGCCTCATAGACTGACACTACCAATTGGAGTTAATGATGCCCACCATCCTGGATGGGTCACCCTTGCGCTCACAGTGCAACTATAAACTATGAACGAGCAACTATGCCCATATTTTGGGTACCCTACGGTTTTAAAAAACTGATACAGTATTGAAACCAGATCATGTGGGATTAAATTTCACAAGTAACATTGAAAAATAATTTTGATTATTTTAAAAGTGTGACACTGTCCTGTATCATAGCTATATCTCTGCTGTTTGTAACAAACCAAACAGTGTGAAAATCAGGTAAAAATTCTTGCCATTATCATTAATATAGTTGGGCATTAAGGAAGGTGGGAATGCCCAACTATATTAATCATAACTTTAAAATCAAAATTATCTTTCAATGTTACTTGTGTTACTTGTTCTCCATTGACCCTGTTTGGTTCTAGTGTGAGCCTAGAGTGAGGAGACCCATCCAATATTGTGGCGATGCTGGATTACATTCCAACATGTAATGAGGCGTCTATGTTTATCATGTCTATGATTCAAACATTCCAGTTGAAGTTCTCCAGGCCTGTAGGGGGCACCGAGCTTCATTTTTAATAAGAGATAGAAAGAGAATTCCAGTTCTGATCAGCACCCCGCTGTTGTGTTACTCTTTTTTTAATATAATTGTCTTGTTTGAAGTTCAAACAAAGGACCCAAAATGCAGACTTAACTTGGAAATTTAATAACCAAAAGATTAAAGAGTAATTAACAAAAACTAACTTTTCAAAAGACCAAAAATCCAAAGAGCATTAGAAAACAGAGAAGCAACACACAGAGGAAATCTTGAGCACTGGGAGGCAAACAATCGGACAGACAGACGCAGAAAGATGGAAAGAGACTTCATACACACCAGGGAACAAGCAACAGATGGGAGAGACAAGAGTACTAAGGACAAATGAAAAAGGAGAGAAAAGCGAGTAAAACTAGTTTTGACACTCGAGAGGATTCAACAAAATAAAACAGGAAACTTCTATCATGACACAGAAATGACCAAAGATAAATGAAGAACAGGGAATAGGAGCTCAAGGGAAAATACACAGAAAATAATAGTTAAAAACATAACCAAGAAGTAAAACTGACCAAACAAGAACCCCAACACCTGTAGTTTTCACCTGTGCATTACTGTGTTTTAGAACTGCAGCATAGATATTGTTGCATTTCTTCATTTTTTGCAGTGCACTTATTTCCATTGCAGTACATTTTGCAGTAGTATTTGCCTTGCATATTAATTTGAACTTTGGTGAAGCATGACTGAGACTCCTTTGGGTTGCTGCAGTACTGTGACAGAAGTCCAGCACTGTAGGTTTGATTTTAGAAAAAAATATATATTTATTGTCTATTTTGATAATTAAATTGATCACACACATTTCTCTGTGAGAAATTCAGTTATGATCAAAACCCAAAAACCTCAACAAAACTGTACCACTATTACTCCCAGATCCTTTAATCTATAATGTGAATATTCCCCTATACACATCCTGAACTCTAAAGCTCAGCCCAACATTTGAAACAAACAGAACGGGTTCAAGAGTAAATCTCTTCTAGAGACAAATCTGCATCAAACACACCTTGTGTCAGTGTTTCCTGAAGCTTTTTCTGCCACTTCAGCTCTCGAGACTTCAGCTCACAAAACTGGTATGCATCACACAACCCTGAACACGCCTGAAGCAGGTTACACATTAAACTTTCATGAGTCAGAGCACTGTAGGATCAACATAATTTTGAGCAACAAGTCCACTCAGTTAACAAGTATTGTATCACTTACAATATCGCCACAAAGACAGACATGGCTTTGGCAGAGCTCTAGGGAAGCTGCGGGTTGTTGGGAGCCCTCTGAGGAACAACAACATCCAAAAACACCCATGGGAATTTACAATGATCCCCCTATCTGAGAGTCACATTAGAGCTGTAGCCAGGACACGAAAACAGGGAAAATCACATTAGCCTGTAGAAAGCCCTCTGAGTTAGGAAATGCGAACATGTAAGCTCTGTCAAGGGAGATGGCATGTATGTGTAAGTCATGCTATCTGATTTAATTTAGAAAATTTGACAGGTGGGCCTTGAACTTGGATTTTGAATCCTGTCGCTGTAAATCTTGTATCAAAGTGGTTGAAAAAAAGGGGGGAAAGCAAATGTTCCTTCAAGATAAATGGAAAGAGCATGAGTACGGCAAGATATGCAAGAGAGCCTTCAGCCTATGTAGATGAGCAGCATAGAAATTCTTCTGTTTGCACATGAGCGATAAAATGGGACATTGTAAAATAAAAACACATGAAGAGAAATTTACACTTTCACTTATGATCTTTAAAACAATTTGAAAACTGTAAGTTATTTTATGTACAACTGTAATAACCAGATATGCACCAAAGACTTTTTTTTTCTTCGTGAACTGCCATGACTGAAGTTGTTTTCCACCGACTCACCCTCTGTCCTTTTCATCTAAGCTCTTTCCTCTACCTGGTTAGGGCAGCAAAAGGTCATTGTGGATCCCAGTGTACACACACGAGTGGACCAAAAGTCAATTTCAGATGTGTCAGAGGAACTGATGCTGCTAGCTTCCTGTGACAGCTTGAGTGGAACAGCCTCAGTCCGCATCTGAAAATCACCTTTGCTTACTGAGTGGAAACCATTTTTCTTAAAAGCCTAAAATGTTCTGTCAAGCCCTGTCAGCACACATTTATCATTATTATTCTTACATTAGGATTATTTGCATTATTATTCTGTGAGAATCTGGTATAGCCTATTTTCTGTACAAAACCAAGGTGGTTTTTACAAAGGTTATGGATGACAGAAGAGCTACCAGTGGACACAGGCCCTTGAAGGGATATTCCAGCCTAACATTAAGTTAGGGTCAAACACACCATAAAACCGAGTTAGACACCCCCTCGAGAGATGAATGTTGCTGACCGGTTGCTTCTCAAGTTATACCAACTTTAGTAACAACCACACAATAGCAATACACAGCGGTCTCAGGAGCCACACTACAACCTCAATCAAAACGCCACTCTGTAGCCACAAATGATGCTTAAAACAGCACCTAACTTCATCAACAGTACATATCCCAGGGTCCCAGCCACATGTATGATCATTTCTTTATCATTTCCACAAAGTAATAATCGTCATAATAATCATTTTGCACTGCAGACGCAGTAGTTCTTCGGCCTTAGCGTCTCAGTCTGATTGCATTTCCATGAAGAAATGATCATAAATGTTTTACCTTGAGCTGTGTCACCCCGCTGTAGTCTGTAATGGACTCGTCTGAGGTCGCCATACAAACAAGTGGCTGCTGGAAGAGAGTGGGTGAGTTGTGTTTAGTGTCTTTGCTAAAGAAATTAGGCAAAGCTAAAAAGATGTTTGGTGGCTAGTGCTTTGGCTAGGACCCCATATGTACTGTTGATGAAGTTAGGTGCTGTTTTGAGCATTATTTGTGGCTATAGAGTGGCATTTTGGTTGAGCGCTGTGTTTTGCTATCTTGCGGTCGTTACTGAAGTTGGTATAACTAGAGAAGCAAGCG